AAAAAAAAAAGGAAAGAAAGAAAAAGAAATCAGAGGTTTGTTTTGTCTCTTAGTGAATGCAGCCCTGACACTCAGAGGGTATTTGTTCCACCTAGGATGCCAGTCATTTCTTACTCAGAAGTGTAGGTTAATGTGTTCTGTTCTCTTCACACCCTTCTGTGTTAAAAGTTATTATTTTAGCAATTTATCTCTTAGAAATATATTTAGAATAACTTGGCGAACTACAAAATAGGTTTTATCTTGTTTCCTAACAAGGAATAACTTCTATTACAATATTTTTCTTTCTCACTGAAAAGAGTCTTTTCTTTTTCTTTTTCTTTTTAACATTTACTTGTATATATTTGTGGGGTACAGCATGTTGTTTCAACACATACACTACACAGTGATTCACAGGATAGATGCTATAGTTTTGTACCTTTTAAACAAAATAAGAATATTCTCCAGCTCTCTGATGGTCCACCCTCATCTAGTTCATATGAAAGCTTACACTCTCTCACAACCACACCCTGCCACTGCCCCTGGGGGCGGATCGTATAACTTCGTATAATGTATGCGATACGAAGTTATTACGGGGAGGCTTTACGCGAATACGGAACTAAAGTTGCTGAATCACTGGGACCCAGAAGGGCGAGGCTGGCAGCTACGTGCCGTTGAGCGCTAGTGAAATGGTGGCCGCGGAGCGCATGAACTGGCTCCCGTGCGCGTCAGGGCACATGCGCGCAAAGTTATGCCCAACAGGGGGATGCCCTGAGATTCTGAAATAAAAGAAAAATATGACTTATTTATGCATTGCCTTTTATTTTAAATGGTTTCCTGCAACTTACCAGCTTTAGGTGGATGCTGGCCCAGATGATTGATTAACATTTTCTACTGGCTCATCTTCCCGGGACAATGTAATATACAGGGGTCAGATGTTGAGAAATTGACTCATTTATGATTTAAATGTAACTTTTACAAACCTAGATATTAAAACTCAGGTTGTCATTAATCAAATGTGTTTAAATATTTTCCACTTGTCATGTCCCCCAACTATGTCTGTTGATCGTATTCAGAGAGCTGGTGGGGGCCTTAGAGGTCTGAGAGCTGAATGCTAGTTTCCCTGCTACAGCACCCAAAATCAATGGTCACCAAGATTCTCCTTGACTATCTAGTACAAGGGTTAGCAAACTCTGTCTGTAAAGAGCTGGACAGTAAATATTTTAGGCTTGACAATTACTGTCACAACTACTCAATTCTGCCATTACAGGGCGAAAGCAGCCATAGTCTATAGACAAGACATACATAAATGGTGTGGCTGTGTTCCAGTAAGATTTTATTTATAAAAACAGGCAATGGGTTGGATTTGGTCCATGGGCCATAGTTTGCCAACCCTTCAACTAGTGATTTCGTGAGATAATGCATTTCACTTATAAGACATTCCAGAATGTTACTTCTTCATTCTATTCAGCAGGTATAACAGTGATTACGTTAAGCCAAGCACTGTACTGGTACAAAGAAAAAAGTAGCTCCACAGTCCATACCCTTCTTTCTGAGCTCCTTTTCCACATTTCTGACTGGCTGCCTACTACTGGCTGCCCACTGCTCTCATGGACTAGGCCCATGGACTAGTCCAAAGGGCCTGTAACACCCCACAAGGATAATGTCATTGTTTTCTTCTGATGCTTCACCTCTCACTGTGGTTCCTCTCTACTGTGCCCCAAATTCCTGAATTCTATATCAGCTCTACTAATATAGTCCAAATTCAACTCTGTTTTCTCAGCTCAGAAGATCTGGGTAAGTGTCACTCAAATCTTTACTCCATGCCTCATGGAGTTCCCCCAAATTTATCCAAATTCCTAGGATGAGGATTGGGGTGACTCTTTCAATTCTAATTATCACTTCCATCTTTGGGTTTCTGGTTCCACTTATGCTTCTGTTAACCTAGATGCAAAACTTAGTCATTCCTCAGTTTCCTCCAAAGATCTCACCCACACAGAGCATTTGTAAGCCTGGTAAACTTCACTGAACTGTTGGGGGTCAGGAGGAACAGTCACATCATGCCATACTACATATGACTTAAAAGCCCTTTTTAGCCATAACATCTGTATTCTTAAAAGGTCTTTAACCCAGGCATCACCAGGGGTCTCTCATGCAGTCCCCAGCATCCTAACCATCCTGCTGGCTCCTCTCTTCTCCATCTTCCTTTACTCCCCTTTCCTCTCCTTCCTGTTTCAAAAGCAAACAGCAAACAAGTTTCTCCCATTGCAGAGCAATGTAATCAGTCTGAAGTTGCTTGAGCTCCTACCAGCACCCATACTTGCAGAGTCTCTGTTAAAAACAGAAAATAACAAGTGTTGGCAAGAATAGAGAAATTGGAACCCTCATACAATGCTGGTGGGAATGTAAAATGGAGCAGCTGCTGTAGAAAAGTTTGGCAGTTCCTCAACTAATTAAACATAGAATTACCATATGACCCAGCAGTTCTACTTCTAAGTATATTCCCGAAAGAATTCAAACAAAAACTTCAGCGTGAATATTCATAGCGGCATTATTCATAAGAGCCAAGAAGAAGAAATAACCCAAATATCCATCCACTGATGAATGGATAAACAATATGTCATATACCCACATGGTGGAATGTTATGCAGCCATTAAAAGGAATGAAGTACTGACATGTGCTACAACATGGATTAACTTTGAAAACATCATGCTAAGTGAAAGATGCCCATCATGAAGTGACACATATTCTACAATTTTGTTTATATGAAATGTCCAGAATAGGCAAATCTACAGAGACAGAAAGTAGGTTAGTGGTTGCTTAGGGCTGGCTGGGGTGAGGGTGGGGAGTGAGGGGGGTGATGGCTCAAGGCTACAGGGTTTCTTTTTGAGATGATGAAAATGTTATGAAATTGATTGTGGTGATGTTTGCACATATCCGTGAATAAACTAAAAGCCTTTGAATTATACATTTTAAATGGGTGAATTGTATGTCATGTGAATTATATAGAATTGTATGTCATGTCAATAAAGCTGTTTAGAAAAAGAAACACACAACTGTTGAAAAAAAAGGTAACCTTTAGGCCCTCAGGAATTTAACCTCATTCCTTTAGCAGTCCCATGGTGTGTAAATAACCAGTGTCTATCATAATAAGAATTCTGTGTTGTGGAAATGTGATCTAAAAATACTTACAATATGATAGGAATTTTAGTTGTTGCTAAAGCTATTTCAGAAGGCTTTTTTTTTTTTTTATCAGCTAACTTCAGTGTGAACAGAAATTTATTTTTCTTACAATTCTGTATTCAGGACTAGAAAAGTACTTCAAACAGAGTAAATATATGTTTACATTAATCAGTATATTCATTCAATTTACTAGTTAAATGAATGAACAAATGTGTAGTTTACTCTTTCATAGAGAAATAAATTGAGATATTAATTGTCAAATGACCGCAACTTACGTTATATTTAGTTGGGGCGCTGAAAGGGAATATGGTGGAATGATGCCGATTTCACTCCCTGAGGAACACAGACCAAAATGTGAACCTCCTCGTGTCATGGGCAAAGGACATCAGCATTATGGATTTGGTGGAGAAACCTGGCCAAGGTAACTGTGCTTTCTGCCATTCACATAAAGGTCCTTATTATGAAATTTTCTTTATTTTCTTCTGAGTCCTTTGTTAACTTAATTCTGCCTCTATTTCTTTTACTTTTTATTAAAAGACACAGGTGGAAAAACTAATTATACAATGTCTAATTGTGTAAAAGGCCTATGTTTATGAATGTTTTTGCTCTCCTTAGAGATGTTAAAATGTTGTGATCAGATATTTTGAGAATTTAATTCCCTCCCTTATCATCTCTTATCTAAAACTAAATGGGACTGTTCCTGAGAGAGTGATACTACATTTAAAATGTTTTTGCTTGAGCAAAGAGCTGGCCTAATTTGTACAGATGTTCTTGGTTTTTGGAACTTTTGATTTGTAATTTGTTCATCAGTCTTTAATTATAGTCATTAGAATTTGCTGGGCTTTGTTTTCAAGTATTAAAATATCAATAATGTATAAATCTTAAAATCACTCTTTCAGCAACTCTATTCAAAAGAAGGTTAAAACTGAAGAGAAAGTGAAAAAGAATCTGAGCATGAAATTAAATGTCACATTAAATACAAACTTACCAAAGATTATGAAATTTATTCAAAGCAGAATTCATCGAACCTTGGCACAGAGCCTGCTTACCCTTGCTTTATCTGACAATCCTGGTTACCTGGCTTACTGACAATCTTCTTAACTAGTTTTTTGTTCTAAAGCAGGTAAAATAAATAAGTTAGGAGAGACAAGCCACAGCTAGAGAGAGAAATATTGACAGTAGGGACATGTGCAGCTGACAACCTTATTGAAGCCTCACTAAAACAATAAAAAGCAAATGAAAACACCTAGCAGTCAAAGGGCAATTGGAAAGATTCAGACATCAGCACACATAGTGAAGACCTCAAGTTCATTCATTCATTCAGTGGATTTTTTTTTTTTATGTCCCTACTCTCTTTCAGCTTACCTTCTAACATGATATAGAGTCATAATATCTTTGTAATATGGATCTTGCCATCCTGATTTTACAATGAATAAACAGAGACCCAAGAAATTCAGTACCTTTCCTTGGATCAGACAATTATAAAGTTGTGGTACAGGGATTTGAGTCCAGGTTTATTTGACTGCAAAACCCAGGTTCTTTTAATGTGTTCATTTTATTTATTCATGCATTTATTCGTTTATGTAATTCAGTAATTCAGGTATAGAAAGCACTGTTCTAAAGACTGGGAGTATAGCTTTTCACAAATTTTACAGCTAATGTCTCCCAAAATTTGTATTTTAAAGAATGCACAATATTCTAAAATATTTGCACAAAATTCTAGTGTGTAAAAGAAAGCCAAAGACTAGGTTCTTAAAGTAAATCTAGTTTGAAATGAGAGTTTTGTATCCTGGGTCCTCTGGAGGAAAGAGGAATCAGGAAAGGAAGAAGGGCGTGGGCAAAGGGAACAGTCATTCAATGGAATGGAATACTGCAGTTTGCATTTTGCATGAACTTTCTTAAAAAATGCAGATGCTTCAGCTACCCACCCATCAGCCCAACCTTTGTGGGCTACATATGGAAAGGCCTCAGGAAGAGCGATAACAGCCAGAGTTCAGACGAAGACTGGCAGGCCCCAGTATAGCCTTAGCTGTAGTTCCTTGCTGGGTAACAAGAAGTAAAATATATGTTTGTATATCTACATTTACATTCTGCACCCCAGAGCTAAGACAGATTGCAGGTAGCTTTTTTGTTGTGAGTGGTGATTGTGTCTGACACGGTGTCTCTTGTTGTGAGTGCTGATTGTGTCTGACACGGTGTCTCACCTAACTCCTTATTTAAGTCCTTGACCCTTTGCCCTCTGAGAGTGCCCACTGCTAGCCATGGTCACTGAACTTCAAGTTCTAGTCCTCCCATGGGAGTGGATGTTTGAAATCTACAGCAGTTCCTTTTTCTTTTCCTTTTAAACCACCTGGTGCTAGTTTTCCTACAAGCCACCTCCAGGGTCCAGGGGCTTTCTGTTTTGGAAGCTCCTGGACCTGCTTACTTTTTATTTGACCATGCCCTGTGGCTGCAGAAACCTCCTCTGACCAAGGGACACCAGTATCCTCGTATTGTTGCCACTAACTGGTCAAGTGCGATTCTGTTGTCCCTGACACTCCTGTAGGGGGAGGAAAGCAGGGGCATGGCCGCCCTCTGCCCAGGTCTGGGCATGGCTAAGGTCTGTATAGATAGCAGTGGATGGAAATCTACTTGGGGGATTGGAAGGGAACGGAAAGGACCCTGAAGTCATTATCTGATTCTCAACTTTTCTTTTTCCTTGCCATGGGTATGGAGTGCCACACAAGAGCACTGATTAGATAAGCTCATGGGTGTCTTGGCTCTGTGGCCATGTGGATATTATTGTCACGCATGTCTATAATTAACAAAGTTTTATTCCTATTTAATGTTACTAACTATAGCAGATTTTTGAAATCAGTGTTTTTCCACACAACCCTCTTTCCTTGCATCCCTATTACTTGTCCTCCAACTCCCACCCTATCCCCCCATTAAGAAAAGAACTAGCATTCGTAAAGCTGTGGACACCATCAGGGAAGCTTGTTATAAAAGCTTTTGAAAGGCCAGTAATGATTGTTGTAGTTGTGTTTTGTATTGCTTGATAGCATAGAAGCATAAATACTGTAATGCCTAATCTATTTATCAAAACTGATCTATTTATCAAAACTGACTACGGGACCAGAGCCCAGAAACTGTGGGTCGAGTCATATGTGAATTTGTTTTGAGAAGCAGGGAATCTATTTATCAAAACTGACTACGGGACCAGAGCCCAGAAACTGTGGGTCGAGTCATATGTGAATTTGTTTTGAGAAGCAGGGAAGCTGGGTAAGTGACAGACAGAGTGGCATAGTGAGTGGTCCATCATCCCAATCAGTTTGTCAGTCCAGTTCTGTTGCAAGTCATTTCTGGCAGTCATGGCTGAGGAGACTTTCTGCGTGTTGTCACGTTGCAAGTCCATTAAATCTTGATTTTGCAGAGGGTAAGGGTAGATCCCTTAGCCAAATACTGCTTTTTTTAAAGTTGTTGCAGAAAGTGGTGAGAAAAGGAGACAGCAGGCTCCCTCTATTAAGAGAGTTCTAATTAATAACACTAAATTCTTTCTGAAAAAATTACTTCTATTGAATTTGAAGTTTTTCAGCCAAAGGAAAAGCATGAGACATAAAGTGGTGATCTTGCTTCAAAAAAAAAAGGAAAGAAAGAAAAAGAAATCAGAGGTTTGTTTTGTCTCTTAGTGAATGCAGCCCTGACACTCAGAGGGTATTTGTTCCACCTAGGATGCCAGTCATTTCTTACTCAGAAGTGTAGGTTAATGTGTTCTGTTCTCTTCACACCCTTCTGTGTTAAAAGTTATTATTTTAGCAATTTATCTCTTAGAAATATATTTAGAATAACTTGGCGAACTACAAAATAGGTTTTATCTTGTTTCCTAACAAGGAATAACTTCTATTACAATATTTTTCTTTCTCACTGAAAAGAGTCTTTTCTTTTTCTTTTTCTTTTTAACATTTACTTGTATATATTTGTGGGGTACAGCATGTTGTTTCAACACATACACTACACAGTGATTCACAGGATAGATGCTATAGTTTTGTACCTTTTAAACAAAATAAGAATATTCTCCAGCTCTCTGATGGTCCACCCTCATCTAGTTCATATGAAAGCTTACACTCTCTCACAACCACACCCTGCCACTGCCCCTGGGGGCGGATTTTCCGTGGGGGTTCTGTGGTGCCACACCATCACCGTACTCCTCGTGGAACAGCATCGCTCCTTGAGTGCCAGTCAACTGTCACCCTAAACAACAGCAACAATACCATGTTTTTCTATTCAATACCTGGTCCATGGACCAGCAGCATTAGCATCACCTAGGAAATGGTGAATGCAAAATTTTGGCCTCTGCCCCAGATTTACTGAAATTTTAACAAGTTTTTTATTGCATTTCAAATTTTTACTGCATTTTAACAAGATCCCTCAGGTAATTCTAACATGTACCAAAATTTGAAAACTGCTGGTTCAATGTAAGAAAATGCAATGATTTTTCACACAAAGGAAAATGCACTCATCTCCCCAAAAGGGGAGACCCAAAGCCTCATTAGTTCCTGCATCTTGCTCCAAGTGTTCACTCCTCTCTGATTCAGTTGTAATCTCATCCTGATAGTCTGTACTTAGGCACTTTGATAAAGTTAACCATCACCAACACTCCCTATATGAAATAATGAGGAAAAGGGAAAGAAAAAAAAAAGAAAAGTAGTTAATATGTATAAAAGTATGCAAGACACTTAAATATGGGAAGAAAGTATGGGAAGCTACTACAATCCTTATTTTTGCAGCTGGTCATGAGGCTATCATTGGAGTTATAATTTCTTTCCTCTACTACCCATTCCAATCTTAAAATGACAGGAACTCATTACTTGGTAGGACAACCCAAAAATTTGTTCCTGAGAGATCTAAGGTGGTTCTGCCTGTGTAAGGCTGCTACACTATTCCATTAACTTTATGCCACTGGAGACAAAACTAGGTGTCCAAAAGATCCTCACGTTCCAGAAATACTCCTTTCCCCCATCTCTGTGTAGCAGCAATCCTCTTGCCCTTCATATGCAGGATCAGTCACCCCAGCCTACTAGGCATAATCCTTTCTTGCCTGTTTTATCCTGAGTCATCATGAGCTCCAAATTACCACTTCATCAGTTCAGCTTCCAATGCAGTGAAACCATTGTTTTGTCCCCTGATGGAAGCATTTCTCGCTTGACCTGTAAACCAGAAAATCTGAAGGTGGCTGTAGAGGAAGTAAAATTTTCTGAGGTATAGCAGTCAATATAAAAGTGAGAGGCACCTCTCCCACTGCCACCCTTTGGTTTTTAGACTGTGCGTTCTGACTGTGGGGGAAACTATTGGCCACTGGTTCAGAGCATGTGCCACACACTTTAGGACAACACTCAGCCATAAGTGAATCTTCAGTAGGCCATTCTAAAACTCTGTAAATAAGGCAAAATATAACATTCTATAAATATGATATATCCTTTGAATTCATCCAAACATCGTCTTATTTCTTTTGAGATAAATTGAGTTCCTTGGTCAAAAGTAATATTCCTTAGTCAAAAGTAAAGAAACATGGTGAGAAGAGGAAAGAAATTGAAATCTTGAAGAAGTGTCTAGTCTTATAAGGATAAATCATCTCTTTTATGATGGAAGGAATCCAATCAGCTTTCCACCAGGTGGCTGACTAGTACACCCAGGGATATGTCACCCTATTAAGAGATTAGGGTTGGTCACTTCTGCTGACAAATTCAGATGCGACAACAGCCAGGTGAAATTTGATGAGGGAAAGTTCACATTACTGAGTCCATACATAACTTCTGCACCGCCCCCATGATAACTTTGTTATGAAGCTATTGAGCAAGCAAGCACAGGGGTGCCTGGAGAAAACCTGACTGACATCCACAGAGTTAGTCATTCTATCCACCTGATTTTCAAGAATATCCTCAATTGTGGGGCTCCCTTGGTGAACATTTTTGTGGGGTACAAATAACCTGCATACTCCAGGGCCATTCTTAGAGGCTGGGAAAGCAAGTTGTTTAGAATGTACATTAGGTAGATGAGATTCACAGTACAGACTCACTGTAAAAATATAGAATGAAAAAAATATATGTATAGGATGGGTGTTCAAAAGATTGGGCAGCTACAAGTGACTGTTGAGCACTACAACTTATATGAAAACATTGTAGATAAGGTCCAATCTCCTTTGACCTCTAACTCCCAATCCAACTTTCCTTCCTAGAAGAAACCACTGTTACCACTTTGGTGTGTCTCCTTCCTCACCTTTTGTTATGCATTTACACAATTATACATGTACCCATTGAAAACATATGGTATTATTTAATGTATGGAATCATTTGATACATAGTATTAAGCAATTTGGGATTTTTTCTCTCTGCAAACCAGAGATAATCCCATGTCAGTAAATACAGATCTACATCATTCTTTTTAATTTCTCATAGTGTTTCACAGTATGGATGCATCGTAGATTATTTAGCCATTCACATATTGTTTCTTTTCTTTTCTTTTACATTAACGATACTGTAATGACCATCCTTGTACAGGGATCCTTGAGCTCATGCACAAATGTTTCTCTAGGACAAATTCTAATTGGAAGTTCTGGGTCACAATAGTAAGTGTAGCCCAAATGATTTATATTCTCATGGTAGTGTCTAAAAGTATGCATTTCCCATACTTAAGTGTATGAGAAATGAACCATCTGTATTATATTACCACACTGTATAATTTTTAGAGTATTTTGGTTATCAGAACACATTTTTCTGGTTATTAGTTAGGTTGAACACTCTTATGTTAATATTTTATGTATGGCACATTTCCTTTTCTATTCATAATTCTTGCCCATTTTTATTGTTTGTATTTGCTTATAGATTTTTATTGGTTCTTTATGTTCTGTATATCAGTTCTTTATGTGTTATCTTTGCAAGTATTTGGAAACATTATAAGTATTTCTTCTAATTTGTGTTTTATTTGAGTTTTTATGGTGTCCTTAGTCATATAAAAGTTTTTAAATTTGACATTATCAAATTTCTTTTTGTTTTTTGACTTTTAAAAGAAAAATCTTATTTATAAAAGGTCCTTCCTCCCACCAAGGGAAAGAAAAACATATTTTTGTATGTTGTAATAGTTTTTTTCCTAATTCTTTAGAGGTTTTTTTTTTTTTTTTTTTGTCCTTTTTGAGACCGGCCGCACCACGCTCAGCCATTGAGCACATGAGCCATCCCTATATAGGATCTGAACCCGCGGCGGGAGCGCTACTGCGCTCCCAGCGCCGCACTCTCCTGAGTGCGCCACGGGCTCGGCCCTCTTTAGAGTTTTAATCCATCTGAAATTATCTTTGCAAATAGTGTAAAATACAGATATATTATTTTCCAAATGGTGAATTTTTCCTGCATTCTTTATTTTAAAAATATGTCCTTCTCCACTGATTTAAGATGCTATCTTTTTATATACTGAATTTCCCTGTATAAATAGTCGTATTAATCTGTATCACCACTGCAGTGTTAATTTTAAAAAATTTTAATTTATTCTTTCCTTTCTTTTCAGAAAGCTTCCTATTGAACAATTCTATTATTTGACACAGAACAAAAAAAGTGACATCTATGGAAATGATTCTTTGTAAGTTTGAGGGTTTTTTCTTTATATGAGATCAAATAACATTTTTAAGTGGAAATGAGTTATATGAGAAATTAAAAAGCCCCCAAATGGGAACTTTTAGGGAAACAAATCCTTCCATTTTTTAAATAGAGATACCAGAAACCAAAACCAAACAAAGCAAAGAAACCAAAAAAACAAAACAAAACAAAAAACCACAATAGTATATGGCATTTAAACAAGTGAAGAAAAAATAGGAAATAATATAGTAATGTTTAAAGGGATTCTCCTCAGCTTATCTTGGTCCATTTCCCTACCTTTGACCTACTTACTCAATCTAATAAGAATTTGCTACATTTCTTTAAAGATTTATAGAAAATGTCACAGTAGCTCTCAATAAATTTTTAAACAGAATTTTATGAGGATAGAGTTTTATTATGATCACCTACAAATAACTCTTAATAAAATTACTTCCTAAGTCTCTTTTTTAAGTAAGGAATGTTTGTTAATTTACCCTTTGCTTAAAGGTATTATGTGTATATTAAATTATTTTTTACTCTTTGAATTAGTTTGTCATGTATATTACAAAAGCATATATTTTTATTTTCAGATAAAAATAAAACACAGCATTGAAGTAACAATGAAAATATCACTTCTTTACCTTTATTAAGAATTGTTAGTTATCTCTTTATAGGTAGGAAGTTGATATAGAATTTGGCCACTAGAGGGGGCCCAAAAGACAAAATTTGTGGTTGCCTGGGCTTTATTATCCCTTTGGGATTAGTGAATTTTGCAAAGTAAATGTGGAACATGGAAGTAAAATTAATGGACTGGTTTGGTCAAGGAAGTCGTGTCTCTGAGTACTTGTTACTTTCATTTTATCCTTTGAAATTTTAAGTTTTTTTAAAGATTTCCTTTTAAAAATTTTTATTTTTTTTTTCATTTTGAATCAAATCAATTTTTTAATTTTAGGCATATGCCTATCAATATTTTAGCAAAATTTGTCACAAGAACAATTTTAGATGCCTACTTAATGTTTTATAGATAGAAGTCAATCTAGTAACTCTAGATCCCTTGGATTTGTATATTCACTGCCTCCCCCCATCCCACCCCATCTCCACAACTCAACAATATAGCTGGAAGACTGGACATGCGTTTTTTTTTAGTTCCATGCTCATAAACTTAGAGTCCAAATAAAGAAGGATATAAACTTTTGTGGTTTGTGTGAGTCGTGTGTTTATAAAAATTATAATAAAATTATATGGCTCACATACCCCTTTCTAGTGAATATCCACTAGCATGGAGGAACATCTACAAAATCAAACAGTGTACTTAATTTTACTGATTTTTACTATCAACTTGATAACATTCTGTTCATTTTTCATGCCTAAAATCTTTCAGAGTCTTATTTGCATAAGACTGAAACTAATTGTTGAAACCAGATTTAAGTGGACGATTATCCCTCTCTAATGGACTTTTTTCCAGAGCTACCGTATTATTTCTTGGCATGCAGGGTTCAGAGTAATTAGTGAATACACGCCCTTGGAATAAACTGGTTCAGAAAAGGCATGCACCGGGGCCGGCCCGGTGGCGCACTGCGCTAGTGCGCCGCTTGGGGGACGCGGTTGCGCTCCCGCCGAGGGTTCGGATCCCACATACAGACCGGTTCCCGCTCACTGGCTGAGCGAGGTGCGGGGGCAACACCGAGGGTTGCGATCCCGTTGCCGGTCCGGTACGGGGGCGACACTGAGGGTTGCAATCCGTTGCCGGACACGGAAAAAGACAAAAAAAAAAAAAAAAAAGAAAAAAAAAAGAAAAGGCATGCATCCAAGAACTTGGTCAGTTTTGTTCTCTCCTGAGCAAAAGGACAAAGCACACACGGTACTGACATATCCTCTCCAGCCAGGCCACACTCAGGTCGCATTAGGTCGTGCAAGTACACCACATGTGTGATGTCGGGCTCCCTCAGAGCACTGGCTACTGCCTGATTATGATTGAAGGTGAGTAAGAACCAGAACTCTCTTATCTTTAGAAGAAGTCAGCCGCTGTATCTTCACTGCATATAAGAAATGCAAAAAGGGTCGTGAGCAGGACTGAAGTTAGAATAAATGCAATAAAAAAGTGATCAATAGACAACTGAGATATGTAAATATCATATCTCTCTGTCATGTCAATATTCAGGGTTCCAGAAGGTTAATCAACAACATTATCTGAAATGACACGGTAGTTTGAAAATGGAATACATCTTTATTCTTAAGCAATTTTCTAATCGGAATACAAGATTTAGAAGCTCTTAATATAAATTAGGACTTGTTTCCTGTTTTTATTCTAGGATGCCAAAACCACCTAATTCAACAGTAGAGTAAGTATACAACTTCTATTTTCCTCCACTCTTTCTAATCAAGAAAAAATATATATATATATATATATATACTGGCATTCCATATTTCTTAGACAAGTGTGAGTACAAGTTAAAAAAATAGCTTTCATGAAAAGTTTTACACTTGGAAGAAGAGGCTGATGCAAGTCTAAGGTAACATCATTTTGATTTCTCTCCAATTAAATCCGCTGCCAATCTTTTTTTAAATAAACTTTTTATTGTAGTATAGTTTTATAGAATTATTGGGAAAATAGTAGAGAGTTTCCATATACCCCACTATTATTAACATCTTACATTAGTATGGCAAATCTGTCACAATTAATGAACCAATATTGATGCATTACTATTATGTAAAATCCATAGTTTATTCTGATTTCCTTAGTTTTATCCTAATATACATTTTTTATTCCAGGATCCCATCCAGGACACCACATTACATTTAGTAGTCACGTCTCCCTAGGTTCCTCTTGGCAGTGACAATTTCTTAACGCTTTCCTTGTTTTGATGAGCTTGCCAATTATTGGTCAGATATTTTGCAGAATGCCCCCCAAATAGGCTCTGACTGTTGTTTTTCTTATCATTAGACTGGGGTAATGTGTTGGGCAGGAAGTCCACAGAGATAACGTGCCATTTTCACCAATTATCTAAAGGGTGCGTGATGTCAACATGACTCTTAACTGTTGATTGTTAACCTTGACCACCTGGCTGATGTGGTGTTTATCTGGTTTCTCCACTATATGCTTGCCCTTATTCCCTCCTTTCCACGCTGTGCTCTTTAGATGCAAGTCACTGTGTGCAGCCCACACTTAAGGTGTCTGGAATTATGCTCCACTTTCTTGGGGGCAGAGTACCTACATAAACTATTTGGCATTCTTCTGCATGGGAGATTTATTTATCTATTCTGATTTGTTTATTCAATCACTTATTTCTGTCAGAATGGACTTGTGGATATTTATTTTGGGCCATGGTACTTAGGTCGTAATTCAGTACCACTTTATTTTGTTACTCACATTGGCCATCAGGAGCTTTTTCAGTTTGCTCCTGTATTCCTTTGACATTTCCCCATCATTACGGGGTTTTTGCAGGGGTTTTTTTCTCTTAGCATTTCCTTATTTTCTGGCACTGTGAGATACTTCAGGCTCATCTTGTACATTTCCTGCCCTACTCCTAGAATCAGCCATAAAGCCCGGAAACCCTGGTTCCTTTTATTGGAGACTGCTATTAGAAACCAAGATCTGAGCATGAGGTGGTCTCAGTTCCCCCGGAGTCCTCTATCACTCTTAACTGAAAATGTTAGGTTGACATTTTAAAATTATATTTCAGTTATAGTAAATACCTACTCAGAAGGCTATTAAAATTAAGGTGTAGGCTTTTGGGGTGTTTTTTTTTTTTTTTTCCTTTTTTGTCTTTTTTCATGTCTGGCAACGGATCACAACCCTCAGTGTCGCGCCCGTACGGGACTGGGACCGGCCACGGGATCGCAAGCCTCGGTGCTGCCCCCGCGCCTCGCTCAGCCAGTGAGTGGCCGGTCTGTATGTGGGATCCGAACCCTCGGCGGGAGCGCCTCCGCGCTCCCAAGCGGCGCACTGTAGCAGTGCGCCACCGGGCCGGCCCTTGGGGGTTTTATTTTTAAAAAAAAACAACTGTGAAGAATCCTTGTTATAGACTTTTCAAATTCTCTTCGTATGTGGTATGAAAAGTAAAGCCTTTTTTGTTGGGTTATATTTCTCAGATTCACCTTTCTGCTCTGTAGCCTGGGAAGTTCCAAAGTGGGAGGCTACAATTCCAAGGTCAAGGTGTCAGCAGGGTTGTTTCTTTCCCAGGACTGTGAGGGAGAATCTGTTCCACGCCTCTCTCCTGGCTTCTAGTGATTTGCTGGCATCCTTTGGGGTTGCTTGGCTTGTGAATGCATCACTCTGATCTCTGCCTTCATCTTCACATCGCGTTCTCTTTGTGTTCTTGTCTGTGTCCAGATTTCCCCTTTTTATAAGGATTAGGGACCCATCCTACTCCAGTATGGAGTAACTCCACTTTAACTCAACTAATTATATCTGCAATGACCCTTTTTCCATATATGATCACCATATGAGGCCGTGGGGATTAGGACTTCAACATATGGACGGGGGTCAGGGGAGAGACACAATTGAACTCATAACACTTGTCTTGCTTTTTTCTACATAATTTTCTAATTATAAGTAACATTTCTTTATTCCATGGATCTCCTGATCTTGATTTCCTTCTAGTTTAGACAGCTCCCATGTGGTTGTGTTTTGTTTTTTTTTTTTTTTAGGTTTATTTTTAACTTCTACCAGTTCTCCAAATTATAGAGAAATTATATTCCTATAGTCTTTTTAACTTTTTTTTCCCTTCACTGTACTAGCTATTTTTGGCTTTTTTATTTCAAAACAGTACCATGTACATAAATAGGCAGTATATTTAATTGATTGTTTGCTTAAAGAAACAGATGGCCTGGATCAAAAGTTTAATCCAAGGTGGTTAAAGATTACTTTGCATTACTGGAGGTGAATTCCCAAAATGATTCCATAAACTAAAATACTAAAATCCTCTCAAAACAAGAAGCAGGAATTAAAAGTAACTATAAATTCTTCATATACCATTCTAAAAACACAAAATCATATATCCTCTGCTTTATATTGTTATACCCATTATGAAAGTTATTCACTGCTAAAGAATTAGGTATGGTTTATTTTAAAAATTAAATTTAGTTTTGATTTGTCCAGCAAAATTTAGAAAATTTTGCATGTTTTACAGTATACGTGCCACTAGAATGCTGACTTTGAGTATAGTAACTTTGCATCACTGTCATATCTGCAGGGATTAGAACAGCCTGCCAAAAAGAAGGGTCTCAATAAATATTTGATGATTAATTTTTTTCAATCTTACTTCTTTCTCCTGCTTTTTGTTTGTTTGTTTGCTCAATACATCTTAGAGAAATCTGTTTGCCGTATGCAATTGAACACCCCTACCATACACACATCTCTCGTGGTGCCATGTTCCCGACCTTTACATCACCTAAGGAACTCTGCACTGGCATTAAAGCCCGCAACCAACAGCCATTTCCTCCCACGGTGCCAACCAAGGCCTATGATACAACAGTTTTGAAGACAAGAGGTAAATGGGATTTGGAATCAGAACTATGTTCATTTTTCTTGTCATTGGGGTTTATTCAATAATAAAATTAAAGAAAGCAAGGAGTGTAAGGGACTCAGTCACAAGCATGTGACCCATCAGTAATTAGGAAAGTTGTTCCCAACAATGGGTATACTTTATAATCAGTTGGGACCCCACCACAGACCAGTTAAATCAGACTCTCTGCAGACGTCTCTAACCTTTATACTTTACACACAGCCTCGCATGTTAGAATCAGAAACCAAAACTTTGTAGAATTGGTTGTTTTTATTCTACCTATATTTTCTACTTTTATTTTCTTCCTGCTCTCTGTTATGGTTTAGCTTTTTAAAATTTCATTCTAGCTCAGGTGATCAGCACAAGGGACAATGTTTGATTCAGATCATCAAGTCTGGACATGGGTACAGCAGTGGTGATGAAACTGAAAGCTCCCCATTGAAATAAGACTCAGAACATAACAGGAACAATTTGTGCAGTTCTTCTCAACACCCTAGAGCATCTTCTCCCAGCCACAAGTCTCGCAGTCTTTGTAGATGTGTTTTATGAGAGAGGACAGTAATCCCCAACAGCAGTCATTGACACTCTCCCACACCACACCCTTCAGTCTCTGCTGAGGACACCTGCACCTGTGTGAACACAGAGGAGAGAGCTCTGGAGAAAGACTGGAGATACTAGGGAAGGGTAACTGAAAGTGACAGAAAAGGCACAGGGTAGGCAAAGGTAAATGTTTGTTGAATGAATTTAGGCTGGGAGGTAGATAAAACTCAAGAATTGTCCTATAATTAGTCCCTCTGTACCTGAATATTTGGACCAAAATGCAAGGGCAGAATACTGCCATCATGAGTATCAACCTCAGAGCCTCGTCAGCAGACAGTAACCTTTTAAGAGATAGTGTAGTGAAGTGTTTAAGAGCATGGACTCTGGAGTCCGACTGCATGGGTGGAATTCTGACTTTGCCTCTTACTCACTGTAGATCATGGGAAAGTTTCTTAACTTCTCTGGCTCTGCTTCTAGGAACGTTAGTACCTAATTCATAGATAACAGAGATAAATGTTAGTGATTATTATTTTTATTACCCTGCTGTCATGTGTCATGACTCCAGTATGTGTGCACCATGTCGAACTTTTCCTTTAGTTCTCAGACCAGTCAGCATTGATAAAAGGTAGTGAACATCATATCGAATGTGTTGACTAAACTTAGTGTCAAGTGCCATGCTTAGTTATATTGGGGAGTGAGGAAAGGGGTGCCATGCAAAAGAACTACAAGATGTGATACCTGAACAGTTGAAATTTTTATGATCTTGTAAGCTGTCAAAGTAAATTTCTGTTTTTCAATCCTGAATTAAACAATTTCTGAAATTACATGAAGTACATACAATTATCAAGAAATCACAGAAATGTGTGTTGAATTCATAAAAACACGTTTCAGTGCAGTTGTAGATAAGGGACTAAAGAGAAGTTGCCTTTTTAATTTTTTGCTATTTCAAGCCTCTATCTCTCTTTGACCAGTCAGTCACTCTTAGGGGATTTTAAAAATATAAATATACTCTAATAACCCTTATGAAAAGATCTTTCCAGGGACTGGCACTACCCTAGGTTTCTACCCTTACATTTATTCTTACTCTTCTTTATTAGAAATAAGTAGCACGTAGGTTAAGACTGCAGTCTCTAGAACCAGATTGCCTGAGTTTGAATTGTATCTACTAGCTGTGTGATCTTGGACAAATTGCTTATTCTTTCTGTGCCTCAGTTGCCTCTAACTAAAGTGGGAATAACAGCACCCTTCTCATAATAATGTTATGAAAAATGCGTGTGATGGGATATATACATATAAAACACTTAGTACAGTAACTGGCACATAGTAAGTGTTTAATAAATGTCAGCCTTTGTTCTTATAACATGTGAGGAGGGGTGTTCAGAACAGTCTTTAATTTCAGACTTATCATGGGACCAGAGGATGCCATGCTGTGTTTGGCAAAGCTTATCAAATTATGAACCAAAAACTAGGAAGCTGTATTCTTTAAAATGTTCTCTTTTAGTACCTTTTTGGTAAGCAAGTACTAACTCCATTTTTGAAAACTCTTTTGATATTTAGGCAAAGAAAAGCCAAAATAGGTAGTATAGGAATACATTTGCTGATCCTTCAGAGAGCAGAAAGAGGATCTAGGAAGATTGGTTATGTACCTAATGCTCTATCTCATCAACAAGAAAGGTGACGTAGTAGCGCTGTCCACTATTGCTACGAGCACTACAGTTAAAGACTCATTCTCACTCTGCGCGCCCACACGCTGCTCATGCAAGGACTCAAGGACTCAAGAGTAGGTTGCACCTCACTAACTGTAACAGAATAGCTAAAATGTACACCAACATTCCTCTCTACTCTTATTTCTACTTATTGCACCTATAAATCTCATCAGTTATTCTTATTTATTCAGGATAACAGTGCTTTTCCTGAAATTTTCAGGTAATCCTTACAGATATGAACTACTTGATTTTCCCATGGATTCAAAGAAGAAAGCATTGAGTTGGCCAGGTCAGGGTGTGTATTATGACGTAAGTATCTTTTAAAATGTGTTTTTAAAAGAAAATAGAAAATACTTTTACCCAATAAGTTTATAAAAATCCAAAAGATTGTTTTATTTTCTGTCTGAATGAAAACTTTGAGATTTTGACCATGATTCACATTTTTCAGTTTTCTTAGCTGATTTCATGTACTTTTGGCAGTTATGGAACATTTCTACAGTTACAAACAAAAAGGTTCCCCCCAGAAAGCTGATGGAGAAGAACTGTGTTTCACATACTGCATCTTCTCCCAGTCCTATTCTTATGACTCATAGTACATCAAACAACTCCAAATATGCATAGAGTAATAGGAGATTTTCAAAAAGATTTATAAGCTATTACTGTTCCAGATATTATTAGTACATTTGTGTCAAGTCTAAAAATAAAACAAGAACCACCATGTACTGAGAAATTGCTACACACTACTTTAGATATAATATGTCATCTATTCCTTACAATAACCTCATAAGGTTACTATCATCATTTCATTCTACACATCAGAAAACTGAGGCTCAGGGAGTTCATGACTGTGTAATGATCACAGAACTCAGGTTTGTGAGACTCTAGTATCTGCCCTTGACCTCTGTACCATAACTCCACATGGATGAACAGAGAAAATTTTAAATCATCAAGGAAAATACATAGACATTTGAAAATAATAATTAGCTAACATTTGTGAATGTTGGTTTATGAGAGGCAGTGCCATGTGTTCCCCATATGTTATCTCCTTGCATCCAACAATCTCTGACATAGGCACGAAATAATTATGGAAGGTTGGAAACATTTGAATTTTCCTTAAAAAACCATTGTGGTAGGCCAGCATATGTTCACTGCAATATCATAGTTAACTGTAAAGTAACCAATTTCCTGTTTGTTTTTTAAAGATATACATCAAGAGGAATTCTTTTTTTTTTTTTTTTTTTTTTTTTTA